TTGCATCAAATAAAACTATATTATTATGCATAGCATATGAATACAACCTCATTTACTGCTCGCATGTTATTATCCTTAGTTTTCTTTAGAAAAAATAAGCGTACACTAATAAATTGTTTTCTATACAAACCTTAAAAACAAAAGAACTGCTTTTACGAAGGATCATAAAGAAAACCATAAATCGCCTAGTCAATTCTTCTAAATACAAATAAAACAGAAAATCATACATATATGATACATCGGTCAAAACGTTTATTGATAATAATAAGTTTTTTTGACCGACTCACCACTCCACATATATAGGGAACCCACTACAGGAACGCCACCCAGGTTGTTGAAGAAAATATTGTAAATTATCAACATATTTCTCAATAATTATTGCAATCTCAACGTTACAACTGTAACGTCGTCTGAGACAGATTTGATCCACACTGCGTATGCGGGTGATGGGATGTTTGTAGCGCTGCTACGGGCTCTCGGGAGCAAGGAACAAGAGAGTGTCACCAAGACTGCGTGCACAATTGCATCGATATTCGTTGAATAAAGGCTTGCTATATTATAGCACATAATCAACGGATACACCACCAATTGTGGTTCCTCATGATGAAGATTTGAAATATCGCATTCTCAACGAGGCTCACGATACGCCACACGGTGGTCATCTCGGTCGCGACAAAACGTTTTACTCTCTGAGTCACCACTATTGGTGGCTCAAGTTGTACAAATCAACGAGCACCTATGTGAGACGTGTCAACGGGTAAACGCCTCCCCCAAATGCGGCTGCGCCGCTGGTCAGCTTACCGGTACCCGCTACTCATGAAATTGGACTTTGTGTTCGGCCTGCCGAAAGATTCGGCGGGTATCACGGGTGTCGTTGTATTCGTCGTTCGGTTGAGCAAGATGGCTCATTTGGCGGCGGTACCAGACACCATCAACGGAATCGGTACAGCAACGACGCTGTTTGTAGATCGTGTATTTCGGCAACACAGACTTCAGAGTCGATTGTTTCTGATAGCAAACCCCGCTCCACGGGAAAATTCTGGTCAACTATCTTTTAGGTGCTCGGCACCAAGTTGGATATGTCGACAGCGGATCATCCGCAGACCGATGGTCGCAGACCGATGGTCAAACGAAAAGGGTGAATCGCGTAATCGAATACGTCCTTCACAGCGTCTGCGCTGAGACGTGAATGGGCTGATTCACCCTCGCGTCCCGCTGACGCCGCCATCCCATGGCTCAGGGCTTGGTG